CTGACCATATGCTGTCTCCCCACACCCCATGTAGCAGGTGTTTTAGGGTCATTTTTGGACCAGAGCTCATTTTTCCTTTAATGCTCTGTCTCTAACCAGGATTCATGATCTCTCAGCCAGAAGTCTTGCCGTAAAGACAGAGTAGGCAAGGATTAACCGATTAGCCATCACATCTTGGGACCTGCAGTGGGTCGTGCCTTCATGCCCAGTGAGTTAATGCAGGCATGTATGTGTGTTTGCGTAGGACATTAAAAACAGGGAAATAAAATCAGGGGAAAAGGTATTTTCAAATATGATGTAACCATTAAACTCTTCTAACCATTGATAAAAGGTATCCTGGTGGTGCAGTGGGTTAAGTACTGGGAGGTTAACTGCAAGGCTGTCTGCTCCTATAAAGATTTCGTCTCTGCGACTCTAAGGAGCAGTTGGACTCTTTCTTATAGGATCACTAAGAGTTAGAATCGACTTGTTGGCAGTGGAGGACGAATTGGCTGTGCATGGGTTGGGTGTAGGACGGGCTGGGGCAGGGTTGAGATGTAGGTGAACCTAGCAAACATACTTAACAGTGTAGATGTCTGATGGGAGTCTGAGTCTCTCTGAGGACATCGTTTGCTTTGACATTTCTCAGGTGACTCCTTGGTGGCAGGGAGGGCAGATACAGAGCTGCATGGGCTCATGTTCATGTGGCCGAGGGCTGCTGTAGGTGTCCTCTGAGCTGGGGTAAAGGAGGGCCTGGGGGAGTCATGGAGATGGAGGGGAGGTCTCCCTCAGGGACACAGGTGCTGAGGAGGGAGGACATGGTGTCTGGGCAGTGAGGCTGTGATGTTAGTGGGGTGGGAAAGGAAGGAGTGGTTTCTTCCTAACGGTTGTCTAACACCACAATGTCTCCCCAGAACAGCTGGGAGGGCTCAGGCTTAGCTCTTTCTCAGAATCAGGGTTGTATGGCAACCCCCACCACAGTGTGCTGTGCAAATAGGCTGAAGCTGAGCTGTGGGTGTGAGGGAGGAGGGCGCTGCCTTCTGTCTGGTGGTTTCTACTGACTCTTGCCCTGTCTCTCTCCTAGACCTGAGACATGGAGGGCGGAGGCTCCAGCTGCTCTTTGTTCTGCCACCTCACCTTCCTCTTGCTCCTCTCCCAGCTGCCCACGAGGGGGTTCACAGGTGAGTGCTCCTCATCTTCTCTCTGTGTCTCCCTCTGGTGTATGGGAGGCATAGGTGCTCTTCTGGGTCTCTCCATGCAGACAGATGGAGAGTTTTATTTCCTACCCTAGAGAGTATGATGCCCACCTCTATTATTTATAATTAATAAAAACAAAAAATACAACAAACAGAAAATCTATACCTTTAAGTGGTGGTGGTTGTGTGTAGTAAGGGTAAGTAATTCCGATAATTGCCCTAAGGTGACTTCTTTAATGTTTCAATTCAAAATTAAACCCTCTGCCATTGCATCAGTGCTGAGTTCTCATGACCCTACAGGGCAAAGCCTAATTGTTCCTTTGTGTTACTGAGATGCAAATCTTTAAGGAAGCAGACAGCCTCAGCTTCCTCCAATGGAGCAACTGATGGGTTTGAACCACCAACCTTGTGATTAGCAGCCCACCACTGAACCCAGGACACCACCAGGGTGCCTTTCTTTAATGTTTAGAAGAACCAAATATATAATATTTGAAAATACCTTTTCCCCTGATTTTTTTATTTCACTGCTTTTAAGCAAACATATGTGTATGCAGTAATCTACTTTATTCCCCAAATGTTACAGACAGATTTTATTAAGTTCCAAGGATCCCTGGTGGCACTGTGGATTAAGCACTGGGCTGCTAACTGCAAAGTTGGTGTTTGAAACCCCGTCAGTAGCTCCTGAGGAGAAAGAGGAGGTTGTCTGCTTTGGTAAAGACTTGTAGTCTCAGAAATCCTATATAGGGTCACAATGAATTGGAATTGACTCACTGGCAGTGGTTTTGATTTTTAGGGATTATGTATTATCCAAGGAGCTCTGGTAGCGTAGTGGTTACGAATCAGGCTGCGAACCTTAAGGTCAGCGGTTCGAAACTACCAGCTGCTCCGCTGGAGAAAGATCAGGCTTTCTACTCCCGTAAAGATTTACACCCTCGGAAACCCTGTACAGGGTCGCTATGGGTCGAAACCTACTCGCCGGCACTTAACAACAACAACAACAACATGTATTATCCAGGTGGCACTGTAGGATCTGCACTAGATTGTTAACCACAAGGTTGGCAGTTCAAATTCACTAATCGCTCCATGGGAGAAAGATGAGGCTTTCTGCTTCCATAAAAATTTACAGCCTTGGAAACTGTATACAGGGTCACTATGAGCTGAAATCGACTTGATGGCAATGAGTGGGTGTTAGGTGTTGCTCTAACACCTAACAGAACAGACATAGAGCCTCTGTTCTTAAAGAGCTTACATTCTAGCAGGAGTCCTGGTGTGGAGCTGTAGGATAAGCACCGGACTGCTAACTGCAAGGTCTGCGGTTCAAACCCATCTACCACTCCTTGGGAACCCTTTACAGGGTTGCTATGAGTCAGAACCAACTCAACAGCACTTAACTAATGAATTAACATTTTACCAGAAGGTGTTGTTGTTGTTGTCATTAAGTACCGAGGAGTCGGTTCCAACTCATAGTGACCCTGCACAGGGTTTCCGAGGCTGTAAATCTTTACGGGAGCAGAATATCTCATGTTTCTCCCATGGAACCGCTGGTAGTTTAGAACTGCTGACCTTGAGCTTGGTAGCCCAACTTGTAACCACTACACTAATATTAAATGCAATAAACAAAGAAAAACTCCTCTCTTAGAGGAGATTAATGTTATGGGACAAAGAAGCAGAGCAAGTATGGATAGTGTTGGAGGAGGAGAGAGGGGAGGTGGATTGTGGGTAAGAAGCAGTGCTTAATAGGGTGGTCCAGAAAGAAAAAGGGAAGTGAGCATGAGGATCTCTGGAGAACATTCATTTTTGCAGGAACTGTCCACCAATGCAAGACTGACAATGTGCTTGGTGGGATCAAAGAAGAGTAAGGACTGAATGTTGGTTGGAGCACAGGGAGTGAAGGGGAGGGAAGCAGGAACTGAGGTTAGAGTGGCACTGGGGAATGCACTCTAGGACCTATGGGTCACTGGAAGACAGCTGGCAAGTTATTCCAGGGCTTTGAGCAGAGTGGGACCCTGACAAATTTGGCTTACACATTGAAAGGATCATTTGGCTGCCTTGTAGGAAATTGACCGGTGAGATGAGGGCAGACAGGGGAGATCAGTCTGCTGTAGTCCTCCAGCTGGGAGACAATGGCTAGGCCAGGGTGAAGGAGTAGAGAAGATGGCACTTGGGAATCTAGAGGGACCTGCTGTGCAGAAAAGCCATGTTATAGCTGGTCCACCTCTGAAGGATGCGGGTGATGCGTGAGGTGTCCCTCCTTTAACACAGTGTGATTGGAGCTCCCGAGAGTCACGAGAGTGAAGGCAGGATTTAAACAAAAACAACATTTGACTCTGAGTTTTAAGTGCTCATAATGCAGTGCAAGAGAGTGATATGGGCGCAACTAATGAATTTAGGAGTCGGGGTGGGGAATTCCTGGGGTTGACTGAGTGATCAGAGTTTGGACCTAGATCTCTGGTGGCCTCAAGTCAGTTTTCAGTCCTGTCCTGACATGGGGCTAGGCTCGGGCTGTGGTTCTCAAAGTGTGGTCCCTGGGCCAGCATATCTGCATCTCTGTAATTCCTTGTTCTCATTGTTAACTGCCATAGGTTGGCCCTGACTAATAGTGACCCCATAAACAATGAACCAAAAGCTGCTTTGTCTGCACAGGAAGTAAAAATCCTACTATTGGTCCACCAATACCCTGGGAAACTCCTGAGAAATGTACATTTTGAGACTTCTCTGTTATTAGTGCCATTTAGTTGGTTCAGACTCAAAGCAACACTGTATAAGGTTTCCAAAGAGCAACTGGTGAGTTTGAACCATTGACCTTGTGGTTAGCAGTCCAGTTCTTATCTATATACCACACCAGGACTGAATCAGCAACTTTGGGACTGTGTTCCAGAGATCTAGTTTATAGTCCCTGGGTGATTCTAAATAAGACCTGGTGGCACAGTGGTTAAAGTGATCAGCTGCTATCTGAAAGGTACAAATCCACTAATCCCTCTGGGAAGAAAGATGTGGCAGGCAGTCTGCTTCTGTAAAGATTTACAGCCTTAAAAATCCATGGAGCTGTTCTACTCTGTCCTATATAGCCACTATAAATAGAAATCAACTTGTTGGAAATGAATTTTTGGGTAATTCTGTTGCACATTCAAACTGTGTACCATGGAGTTAGAGGGTCTTTCGTGGAAGGGCCTGAGCCCAGGAGCCCAGGTACATGAAGCCCAGGCACCTGACATCATTTCTGGTCCATGATGCTGTGATTAGAACATCTCACCCCATTAAGAGTTCACACAGCTTATTATTTATTTATTTATTTTTAATATCTTTTTTTTTTAATTTAAGGTTTTTATTGTGGATTGAGTGGAAGTTTGCAGGGCATATCATCAGTTTTACATTCAACAGATCATATACCTTGTTTCATTATATTGATTATAATCCCCTCCATGTACCATCAGTTAACAGTATTTCTCTCTATCCACTTTAGCTTTTTTAAAAAAT